GATCGGTTCTTTGGGTACTTATGACGTGGCTATTCTCTACAGGTGTTCCGTGGAAATGCTCTTGGTTTGGCAACCTGCGTGGCTAGGTTGGGTTAGAGAGATTCGGTTCCAATAGCTTAGTTATATGCAAATGGGTTTCAAAGAGTTCTCAATGGTTTTTATCACGGTTTGAGAAGTATATTTCCTACCGGCGTGAGAAATATGTTGCGTATTGGGATTTTCTCCGGGATGAGATAAAATGGAAGGTCCTTGGCTAATTGAGTATGTAGTTGCTTGTGACTCGGAGTGGACTATGGAGTTCTCATATTTTTCATATGATGGCATGGTATATGTGGTTTGTTGTGTGGAACTGAGATTTTCCTGAGCGAGGTCACAGTTCTGTTTGGATGGGAAGGTCGTAGGCAGCATGGATGGTTTCAGATGACTAGGTAAATGATATTACTATTTGGTATGGCTTGATGAGAGCATACATTTCAGGAGGGGCAATATGTTTTGATGTATGAATACTTCACTGGTACTGCGACACTCTTCTGGTTGATCGACTGCTTAAATTCAAATTTTGCTATGTGGCACAGAAGAATTTTAGAAGTCCTCGTGGGATGATCGTATATGAGAGATGCGTTAGACATTCTGGCGGTGGAATTGGTATCAAATATGGTGATTCATGTGTTCTATGAATTTGGAGATTGGGAGTTCTCAGGAGCAATTTGTTTTATGGTTGTGGACTGTGAAGTTGTAGCCGAAGCTAGCCAGATGATAGAATGTGTTATGATTCAGTCATTGGGGACTTTCAGAGGTTATTTATCTATTGGTGGGTGACCAGAGTTGATTTGGGGGTCCATTGGTAGGCCCAATTAGGATGTGTATTCTACACCAAGCTGGATTGGTTGGCTCCATACTACTATTGTTGAGGGATATGCCATTCGGTTATTTTGGAGCTTATTCGTGTTCTGAAATGATCTGTGAGTTACTCTTCTATGCTATGAAGAGTTGTGGTTCGTTAGTTATATGCACATATGGTGCAATTCTATTGTGGCCTTATAGCGGAATTTGAGCGAGAAGAGTATTGGGTATTGCTTGGTTGATGGTGTATTGGTTAGGTTATTTCGGGTTTTGTGTGGCATGGTGTCATTTGCTTCTCCGTGGTTATGGTAATGCACTTTGACTACTTGATGTCGAATTGCATATGGTTATTGATTTTTAGCAGGGGACTTGAGGTATTTCATATGGACCAGTAATTGGATAGGGTCGCATATTGCAGCAGAGTTATGTAGAAATATGATCCTTTGTGTTAGATTCGTATGTTATGGTTCTACAGTGTGTGATGGGTTTCTTAGCATTGCGTCGGGGTGGTACCCGTCGAGCTTGCGGGACTGTTCTCTTGTTTGAGTCATTTTCACGATTGAGTATGTTTGGGCGGGGTCCTGAGGGGCTCGGGCGTGGTTCAGATTGATTTCGGGCTATTTTCCTTCATGTTTTCAGTGCTGGTGTGTTCTGGTGTCTGGTGTCACATTTCTTCATCACGTTCACATGGCAAGTATCGCGAACGCGTTGTGTATTTTGATGGCAGCAGCAATTGTTCTTCGCAATTATGTCCCGCATTTGCGTAGAGTTGGGGGTAAGTCTTCTTCGCGTTCGCGTATGAAAGATCGCGTTCACGTAGTGTTGAGGTGTGGCAACTGGAGCCGGGGAATCCTTCATCACGGTTGCATAGTATGAGTCGCGTTCGCGAAGCTTTGACAACAATGGTCATCGCGTTCACGTGGGGTATATCGCGAACGCGTAGAGTCTTTTGTGGCAGTGTCTATTTTGTTCATCGCGAACGCGATGGTCTTCCCGCGTTCGCAAAAGAGGACATTTGGGCAGTGTATTTAATACTCTATTTTGAAGGTTTCGACCATTTTAATATTTTGGGAGCTATGGAGCTCGGATTGAGGCGATTCTTGGAGCAATTTTCATCACATGGATTGGGGTAAGTGTTCTCTACTCGGTTGTGGTTAGATTTCATGAATCTACCTTCATTTTTGGTAATTGGATTGTGAATTTTAAAGAGGAAATTGAGGGTTTTGGCCTAAAGTTTCATAATATGAATTTTTGAGTTTTGAACATTGAAATGGAGTCGGATTTGAGTGAAACTAATATGGTTGGACTTGTAATTGAATGGGTTGTTGGATTTTATAAATTTTTTCAGTTTTCGAGGTGTGGGACGGATTAGCCTTTTGGCCGATTTTGAGCTTTTGATTCAAGATTTGATCTTTTAGATCGGTATTGGTTCCTTAAGCATTGTTTGGTGTATTTGAGTTGTTTTTGGTTAGTTTTTGAGCCGTTCGGAGGTCGGAACGCGCGGGATGGCATTTTGGAGCATCGCTTGGCTTGCTCGACATTGGTATAGGCTTGTTCGAGGTAAGTAACTCTTCTAATCTTAGTGCTGAGGATATGAAATCCCGAAATACGTGTTATGTGATTGGTATTGAGGTGACGCACATACTAGGTGACGGGCGTGTGAGCGTGCACTATGTGAATTTGGATTCTGTTATTTCCATGGAACTGTATAATGGTCCTACTTTATTGATATCCGTGTTTTCACCATGTGATAAAGTAGTTAAGCTGTCAACCATGCTAGATATCATGTTTAGGCATTATGCCGATACTGTTTGGACTTATAGTGGTCATTTCTTACTGTCATCTCACTGATTCCATTGATATTTCATACTCAGTCATATCAATGCATTCATACCATATCTCAGTCTCAGATATTATTTATTGATACATCATATCATTATTGTCGGGCTAGTTTCATGACCTTATGAGCCTGTGAGTGAGACTGGAGAGATTGATGACTGAGTGAGGCTGAGGTCCTGAGTGAGAGTGATATTTTGGAATCGGGCTGTACGCTGCAATATGATATATTGATTATATTTATGGGATCGGGTTGCACGTCACAACGAGCCTTAGGGCTGTATATGTATATGGATCGGGTTGCACGCCGCAACGAGCCTTATAACTATTTATATATTATGGGATCGGGCTGCATGCCGCAATGATATAGCGCTTGGGCTGAAAGGAGCCCCTCTAGGAGTTTGCACACCCCCAGTTAGCGCAATCGATTATAAATAGGGATCGGACTGCACGCCGCAACGAGTATTGTACATCGCTGAGTGATTGAATGAGCTGAGCACAGTAAGAGAAAATGCGAGACAGTGAGATTGAGTACTCTGAGAGTGTGAGTACATGAGTTCATCCTTGATATGCATTGCATTTGATATGCGTACTTGAGATACATGTATAGAGATGCATTTCCTTCTGCTACCCGATTCTTTGGACATTTATGACTTTGCTTGTATCTTGACATATAGGCATAGAGAAGTACTTTCCTCATGCTATCTGAAAATGAAATATCTTACTACTTGTTGAAAGGAGCTTTGGGAAAAATTATAGTTTTTACACTGACTCGTATTTTGGCTTTTTCGGTAAAAGATTTTAATTTTTACTGAGATACTTGAAAAGAAATGCCCTTTGTTTTTCTGAAAACTGTGAATAGACTGAGCCTTTTATTTCTGAGATACTCTTTTGTTACGTGTACTATGCTATTGTGAACTGTTGTGGAATATTGGTATTGGACCCGACCTTTCTGTTAGCACGTCACTACTTTCAACCTAAGGTTTAGGTTTGTTACTTATTGAGTACATGAGGTCGGTTGTACTCATACTACACTTCTGCACCTTGCGTGCAGATGTTGGCTGTTGTTGTTGCTGGGTTCGATGAGAGCTGGATTGAAGATGTACATGCATCCCGGATGTAGCTGCCTCTTGTTTGTGGTAGCTTTAGATATGTAAAACCCTGTTTATGTACTGTTCAAACAGATTATGTATTTATTTCATTTTCGCTTTGTAAACTCTATTCTTAGAAGCTCATGATTTGTACTACCAGTTTTTGGGGAATGTATAAGATTAAGATTTTTTCTTTACTTAAATTGCTTTAATAATTGTTATTCGAATTGGATATTTGATAATTGACTTACCTAACAGGTTGGGTTAGGTGCCATCATGACTAGTCGGATTTTGGTTCGTGACACTTTTCCAGATCCCACTTGTGGGATTACACATGATTTGTTGTTGTTGTTGTTGTTGTATCTATTATAAGATTTTGATCTTTTATTTTTGTGCTTTTGAGAAATCTCTCTAAAAAGAGGTGGACTATAGAATTATGTTGCAATGAATGAGCTAAGCACAAGTTATTAGAAGTGGCGGAAACATAATTTTTATCGAGAGGATTCAAAAAATAAAAAAATAAATACGCAAAAAAAATTAAAGAGATTCAACATCTGTGATATATATATA